ATTCCACCGCCGTCCCACCTCTTCCTGCCCCTGCTCCACCCCTCCCCACTTCTTCCCACCCAGTCTCGCCCCCTCCCCCGAATGCACCGCATCCTTGCACCTCCGCCCTCTCCTCCTGAATGCCACAAAACAACTGATTGCGGTAGTGGTAGGCACAGGGAGGGAGGGGGAAGCGCTGATCTGCAGGGCCCACCAGCAGGTGGGAGGCGCTGGGATGGGGGAGCTGATAGAGGGATTGCCAGTGGATGCTCAGTACCCACCATTTTTTCTCCATGGGTGCTCCAGCCCCGAAGCACCCATAGAGTCAGTGCCTATGATTCAAGACAACTTTTTATTGCAGGCAGTGGAGAAAGTGACTAGGGGTGAGGCCATTCGGGATTTGGTTCTGACAAACAGGGAGGAACTAGAAGCAAATCTGAGGGTGGAAGGCAGCTTGGGTGAAAGTGATCATGAAATGACAGAGTCATGATTCTAAGGAATGGTAGGAGGGAAAACAGCAGAATAAAGACAATGGACTTCAAAAGACAGACTTTAGCAAACTCAGAGAATTGGTACATAAGATCCCATGGGAAGCAAGTCTAAGGGAAAAAAAGAGTTCAGGAGAGTTAGACGTATTTTAAAGCAACATATTAAGGGCACAAGAACAGACTATCCCAAAAGTATAGGAAAGATACGACGTATGGTGAGAGGCCACCCTGTCCTAACCAGGTGATCTTCAATGATCTGAAACTCAAAAAAAGAGTCATATAAAAAGTGGAAACTAGGTCAAAATTACAAAGGATGAACACACACACACACAAAACAACACAAGGATTTAGGGACCAAATTAGAAAGGCCAAGGCACAAAATGAGATTAAATGAGCTAGGGATATAAAGGATAACAAGAAAGTATTTTACAAATGCATGAGAAGTAAGAGGAGGAACAAGGATAGAGTAGGTCTTTTACTCAGTGAGGCAGGAAAGACAATAACATAAAAAGCAGCAATGGTCAAAGTGTTAAATAACTTTCTTGTGTCATTTTTCACCTAAAAAGTTAGCAGTGATTGGACAACTAGCATAGTGAACATCCTTATAAATGGGGTAGGATCTGAAGCTAAAATAGAAAAAGAATAAATTACAAATTACTTAGACAAGTTAGATGTCTTTAAGTCTGCAGGGCCTGATATATCCTAGAATACTTAAGGAACTGCCTGAAGAGATCTCTGAGCCATTAGCGATTAATTTTGAGAACTCATAGAGGACAGGAGAGAAACCAGAGGACTGGGAAAAGGCAAATACAGTATCTATAAAAAGAGGAATAAGGGCAACCCAGAGAATTATAGACCAGTCAGCTTAACTTCAGCATCCAGAAAGATAATGGAGCAAATAATCAATTGATTTGTAAGCACATAGAAGAAAATAAGGTAATAAGTAACAGTTAACATGGATTTTTCAAGAACCAATCACATCAAACCAACCTAATATCTTTCTTTGACAGGGTAACAAGCCTTGTGGGTGGGGGGGAAGAGGTAAATGCACTATATCTCAACTTTAGTGAGGCTTTTGATACCGTTTCACATGACTCTCATAAACAAACTAGAGAAATATTGCCCAGAGAAATCTATCATAAGGTGCGTGCATAACTGGCTGGAAAACCGTACTCAGAGAGTAGTTATCAACGAGTCATAATTGAGCTAAAAGGGCATATTGAGTGGGGTCCCATAGGGATCTGTCCTGGGTACAGTTCTATTCGATATCTTCATAAATGATTTGGATAATGGCATAAAAAGTACACTTATAAAGTTTGCGGACGTTACCAAGCTGGGAGAGGTTGCAAGTGTTTTGGAGGACAGAATTAGAATTCAAAATGTTCTTGACAAACTGGAGAAATGGTCTGAAGTAAATAGGATGGAATTCATAAGGACAAAATGCAAAGTACTACAGTTAAGAAGGAATAATGAATTGCACAAATACAAAATGGGAAATAACTGCCTAGGAAGGAGTACTGCAGAAAACTTATCTTGGGATTGTACTGAATCACAAACTAAATATGCGTCACCAATGTATTACTGTTGCAAAACAAGCACACTTCATTCTGGAATGTATTAGCAGGAGTGTTCTAAGCAAGACACGAGAAGTAATTCTTCCACTTTAGTCAGCACTGATAGGGCCTCAGCTGGAATATTGTGTCCAGTTCTGGGCACCACACTTTGGGAAAGATGTGTACAAATTGGAGAAAGTCCAGAGGAGAGCAGCAAAAATGATTAAAGGTCTAGAAAACATGACCTGCAAGGAAATATTGAAAAAAAATGGGTTTGTTTAGTCTAGAGAAGAGAAGACTGAGGGGGGACATCATAACTGTCTTCAAGAATGTAAAAGGATGTAATAAAGAGAAGGGTTTTCCTCAACCCCCGAGGACAGGACAAGAAGCAATGGGTTTAAATTGCAGCCAGGGAGATTTAGGTTAGACGTTAGGAAAAAGTTCCTAACTGTAAGGGTGATTCATATTGCCCAGAGAGGCTGAGGAATCTCTGTCACAGAAGGTTTTTAAAAATGAGTGAGACAAACTTCTGTCAGGGATTATCTAGATAATACTTAGTTCTGTCTCAGAACAGGGGACTGGACTAGATGTCTAATTGAGGTCCCTTTCAGTCTTACATTTCTATGATTGTATTAAATGCTTCATCAATTATATTTACCCTTAAAGATACAGGCAGGAAAAAACTCACTTTTGAACCCCTTCAGATGGGTACCTGAATTTTAGGGAAGAGGAAAGATGGTTCAGGGGCTAGCACACTGGCCTGGAACTTGGGAAACCAGGTTCAACTCTCTTTTCCTTTGCAGGTTCAATTCTCTTTTGCTTAGAAATGTAAAGCCCCAAAAGAGGTTGATTATATAACTCCAAGGCTTCTCATCAGATATTCAAAATTAATGTTACCTGCTATGACTGTAATGAAAGATAACAAATCCAGGTAGAAATCAGATAGGGTATGCCATACAATTTTATTAAAGAACCCCATCATTACAACTCAACAGTTGAAAACAGTTTTTTTCTTATCAGATAAACTGTGCTGATATGAGGACTGAGTTCAGATAAAAGATATGCCCTTCAAATGATCAAAGGGGCAGTCAGCCTTTAGTAAACTGTAAAGAAGCTCAAGGAAATTATTTATCTCTTTCCCCCCCACACCCCTCCAAGCCATACCCTGCTGTACATGGAAAGATTTTCTAACTTTCGTTCTTCTGAATAATTATTTCAGTCAGGTTTTCTGTTTTGAAGCAAAACTGAGATTTATTGAGCTGAAGAGCAGGACACAGGGCCCATGTCCTTTATGGGGGAGGGATAGCTCAGTGGTTTGAGCACTGGCCTCCTCAACCAAGGGTTGTGAGCTCAATCCTAAAGGGGGCCATTTAGGGATCTGGGGCAAAAATTGGGATTAGTCCTGCTTTGAGCAGGCAGTTGGACTAGATGACCTCATAAGGTCCCTTCCAACCCTGATATTCTATGTCTTCAGTCCATCATTAGCCTGATGGATTGGTATGATACAGGGAGGGAGATGGCTTTTGTTCTCTACTTTAAATAGCTTCTTCTAATGTGCTATCGAACTGAATTTATGTCACGCTCCAAGTCACTACAATGATGGGCTTAGCAAAATTATTTAACAATATATTTTTCTATTTTTATTGTGTCATCATACATTGGTGTAGTACAATCACTGCAAATATAGCTTGCACGTATAGGGCCACATTCACAACAGAGGCTAAAGAGGTGTAACTTACACCTTCTTCTGGCCCCCTCAGCCTGTTACTTACACTAAATCAAACTCCCTTTCACTTAATTACGTCCCAATGTTGCAGTTGCATCTTTGCAGGTGGATCCTTTCCTCTGCATGGAGGTTCATGTTCATTGCTGGGCACTGCCCAGGGGAATAAGCCTCTGACTGCATAGATTTATCTGTCGAATTGAGACCTTGAACTCTCTTAGAACAATCAGACCCAGACTCCTTTTTAGCTATTGACATACATTTTAATTAACCACTGGAACAACTTACCTAGGAACATGGTGGGTTCTCCAGCACTTGAAATATTTAAATTAAAAGTGGTTATGTTTCTAAAAGATGCTCTAGCTCAACCAGAAGTTATGTTCTTGGTGCAAGAATTACTGGATGAGGTTCCATGGGCTATGTTATGCATAGGGCCCTACCAAACTCACAGCCCTGAAAAACATGTCGTGGACCATGAAATCAGACCTCCAACATGAAATCTAGCTATTGAAGGGGCATGGCGGAGGGTGCCCCAGCCTGGGGCTCCTACCATTCATCAGGCTCCAGCTGCTATCTGCTGGGCTGGGAAGAGATGGGACTTCCTCTTCCTCTGCACATCCACTCTCTGGGGGAGATCAGACCCACCTCCAAATGCCTCCTCTGGCTGCAGGAAGCTCCATGGCCATGCAGCCCAGCTCTGAAGGCAGCACAGATGTGAGGGTGGCAATCCCATGACCCCCCCCCCCGTCAGCTTTGTGACCCTCCCCGCATGATTCCCTTTTGGGTCCAGACCCCCATAGTTACAACACCATGAAATTTCAGATGCAAACATCTGAAAACGTGAAATTGACCAATTTTAAAACCCTCTGGCCGTGAAATTTATCAGAATGGACCGTGAATTTGGTAGGGCCCTAGCTATGCAGGACGTCAGACTAGATGATCATAATGGTTCCTTCTGACCTTAAAAATTTCGGAATCTATGCATTTAAACCCACTTACTAATGTGTGCCTTACACATTACCTCTGATCTGTCTAGTATTTTAAGTAATACAGTTACAATTATACTGCATCTACTCTGTCATAGTAAACTATAGTAGTTTGTCCTATATATATATATATATTATTAACAATGTACCAAGCCAAGATTCTGAAATTAGTAGGATTGTGTGAAATATTTACAGTGAAATGTGAAAACCCCAACATTTGCACTGAGGTATCGTTGGAGCAGAGCGACTGAGCCCTGGTCTACACTAGGACTTTAGGTCGAATTTAGCAGCGTTAAATCGATTTAAACCTGCACCCGTCCACACAATGAAGCCCTTTATTTCGACTTAAAGGGCTCTTAAAATCGATTTCCTTACTCCACCCCTGACAAGTGGATTAGCGCTTAAATCGACGTTGCCGGCTTGAATTTGGGGTACTGTGGACACAATTCGATGGTATTGGCCTCCGGGAGCTATCCCAGAGTGCTCCATTCTGACCGCTCTGGACAGCGCTCTCAACTCAGATGCACTGGCCAGGTAGACAGGAAAAGAACCGCGAACTTTTGAATCTCATTTCCTGTTTGGCCAGCGTGGCAAGCTGCAGGTGACCATGCAGAGCTCATCAGCACAGGTGACCATGATGGAGTCCCAGAATCGCAAAAGAGCTCCAGCATGGACCGAACGGGAGGTACGGGATCTGATCGCTGTTTGGGGAGAGGAATCCGTGCTATCAGAACTCCGTTCCAGTTTTCGAAATGCCAAAACCTTTCTGAAAATCTCCCAGGGCATGAAGGACAGAGGCCATAACAGGGACCCGAAGCAGTGCCGCGTGAAACTGAAGGAGCTGAGGCAAGCCTACCAGAAAACCAGAGAGGCGAACAGCCGCTCCGGGTCAGAGCCCCAAACATGCCGCTTCTATGATGAGCTGCATGCCATTTTAGGGGGTTCAGCCACCACTACCCCAGCCGTGTTGTTTGACTCCTTCAATGGAGATGGAGGCAATACAGAAGTAGGTTTTGGGGACGAAGAAGATGATGATGAGGAGGTTGTAGATAGCTCACAGCAAGCAAGTGGAGAAACCGGTTTTCCCGACAGCCAGGAACTGTTTCTCACCCTAGACCTGGAGCCAGTACCCCCCGAACCCACCCAAGGCTGCCTCCTGGACTCAGCAGGCGGAGAAGGGACCTCTGGTGAGTGTACCTTTTAAAATGCTATACATGGTTTAAAAGCAAGCATGTGAAAGGATTACTTTGCCCTGGCATTTGCGGTTCTGCCTTTGCAAAAGGTTTCTGGGGAGGGCAGCCTTATTTCGTCCTTCATGGTAGGACACTTTACCACTCCAGGCCAGCAACACGTACTGGGGAATCACTGTAGAACAAAGCATTGCAGTGTATGTTTGCTGGCATTCAACCAAAATCCGTTCACGCGGTGGGAGGAGGCAAAATGCGACCTTGTAACGAAAGCACATGTGCTATGTATGTAATGTTAACAGCAAGGTTTACCCTGAAAGAGTGTAGCGACTGTTTTATAAAATGTGTCTTTTTAAATACCGCTGTCCCTTTTTTTTCTCCACCAGCTGCATGTGTTTCAATGATCACAGGATCTTCTCCTTCCCAGAGGCTAGTGAAGCTTAGAAAGAAAAAAAACGCACTCGCGATGAAATGTTCTCCGAGCTCATGCTGTCCTCCCACACTGACAGAGCACAGACGAATGCATGGAGGCAAATAATGTCAGAGTGCAGGAAAGCACAAAATGACCGGGAGGAGAGGTGGAGGGCTGAAGAGAGTAAGTGGCGGGCTGAAGAGAGTAAGTGGCGGGCTGAAGACAGGGCTGAAGCTCAAAGGTGGCGGCAGCGTGATGAGAGGAGGCAGGATTCAATGCTGAGGCTGCTGCAGGACCAAACCAGTATGCTCCAGTGTATGGTTGAGCTGCAGCAAAGGCAGCTGGAGCACAGACTGCCACTGCAGCCCCTCTGTAACCAACTGCCCTCCTCCCCAAGTTCCATAGCCTCCACACCCAGACGCCCAAGAACGCGGTGGGGGGCCTCCGGCCAACCAGCCACTCCACCACAGAGGATTGCCCAAAAAAAAGAAGGCTGTCATTCAATAAATTTTAAAGTTGTAAACTTTTAAAGTGCTGTGCTTAAAGTGCTGTGTGGCATTTTCCTTCCCTCCTCCACCACCCCTCCTGGGATACCTTGGTAGTCATCCCCCTATTTGTGTGATGAATGAATAACGAATGCATGACTGTGAAGCAGCAATGACTTTATTGGCTCTGCAAGCAATGATTAAAGGGAGGAGGGGAGGGTGGTTAGCTTACAGGGAAGTAGAGTGAACCAAGGGGTGGGGGGTTCATCAAGGAGAAACAAACAGAACTTTCACACCGTAGCCTGGCCAGTCATGAAACTGGTTTTCAAAGCTTCTCTGATGCGTTCCACGCCCTCCTGTGCTCTTCTAACAGCCCTGGTGTCTGGCTGCGCGTAACCAGCAGCTAGGCGATTTGCCTCAACCTCCCACCCCGCCATAAACGTCTCCCCCTTACTCTCACAGATATTGTGGAGCACACAGCAAGCAGTAATAACAGTGGGAATATTGGTTTCGCTGAGGTCTAAGCGAGTCAGTAAACTGCGCCAGCGCGCCTTTAAACGTCCAAATGCACATTCTACCACCATTCTGCACTTGCTCAGCCTGTAGTTGAACAGCTCCTGACTACTGTCCAGGCTGCCTGTGTACGGCTTCATGAGCCATGGCATTAAGGGGTAGGCTGGGTCCCCAAGGATACATATAGGCATTTCAACATCCCCAACAGTTATTTTCTGGTCTGGGAATAAAGTCCCTTCCTGCAGCTTTTGAAACAGACCAGAGTTCCTGAAGATGCGAGCATCATGCACCTTTCCCGGCCATCCCACGGTGATGTTGGTGAAACGTCCCTTGTGATCCACCAGAGCTTGCAGCACTATCGAAAAGTACCCCTTGCGGTTTATGTACTCGGCGGCTTGGTGCTCCGGTGCCAAGATAGGGATATGGGTTCCATCTATAGCCCCACCACAGTTAGGGAATCCCATTGCAGCAAAGCCATCCACTATGACCTGCACATTTCCCAGGGTCACTACCCTTGATATCAGCAGATCTTTGATTGCGTGGGCTACTTGCATCACAGCAGCCCCCACAGTAGATTTGCCCACTCCAAATTGATTCCCAACTGACCGGTAGCTGTCTGGCGTTGCAAGCTTCCACAGGGCTATCGCCACTCGCTTCTCAACTGTGAGGGCTGCTCTCATCTTGGTATTCATGCGCTTCAGGGCAGGGGAAAGCAAGTCACAAAGTTCCAGAAAGTGCCCTTAGCATGCAAAGTTTCGTAGCCACTGGGAATCGTCCCAGACCTGCAACACTATGCGGTCCCACCAGTCTGTGCTTGTTTCCCGAGCCCAGAATCGGCGTTCCACAGCATGAACCTGCCCCATTAGCACCATGATGCATGCATTGTCAGGGCCCATGCTTTCAGAGAAATCTGTGTCCATGTCCTGATCACTCACGGGACCGCGCTGACGTCGCCTCCTCGCCCGGTATCGCGTTGCCATGTTCTGGTGCTGCATATACTGCTGAATAATGCGTGTGGTGGTTAATGTGCTCCTAATTGCCAAAGTGAGCTGAGCGGGCTCCATGCTTGCCTTGGTATGGCGTCCGCACAGAAAAAGGGCGGAACGATTGTCTGCCGTTGCTCTGACGGAGGGAGGGGCGACTGATGACACAGCTTACAGGGTTGGCTTCAGGGAGCTAAAATCAACAAAGGGGGTGCCTGTACATCAAGGAGTATTTCAGGCAGGACTGCACGGAGGGTTCCAATAAGAAATGGTGCACCTAAGTTATCGTTGTTATTGGAACAAGGAGGTTAGCCTGGCCTCTGATTGATACATGGCTAGATTTACCTCGCTGCACCTTCTCTGTGAGTGACTGCAGTGTGACCTAGAGGAATGAGTCCCCTAGACAGGGAGGAGGCAAATGAGTACAAAACAAATCTGGTCTATTTCTTGTTTTGACCCACTCCATCTATCTTTTACATCTTTGGCTGGCAGCAGACGTGCAGAAGGACTGCATGCCATCCACATCTCATGGCTGCTCGGCAGAAGATGGTACAGTACGACTGCTAGCCATCCCCATCTCTTGCCTGCCTGGCAGAAGATGGTGCAATACGACTGCTAGCAATCCTCATCTCTTGCCTGCCTGGCAGAAGATGGTACAGTACGACTGCTAGCAGTCCGTATCGCTGCCCGCTCACCATAAGACGGTTCAATAGGACTGACTGCAGGACTAAAGAGAATGACCTGGTCAAGTCACTCCAAATTTAGTCCCTGCGCCCATGTCTGCCCAGGCGCTCCCAGCCGACGCGGCCAGGAGCACCTCGACACGATGAGGACGACTACCAGTCGTATTGCACCGTCTGCTGCCAGAAGGCAAGGGGTTGCTGCTACTGTGCAGCAAAGCCGTACCACATCTGCCAGCACCCAGGAGACATAGGGTGACGGTTACCTGAGCGGGCTCCATGCTTGCTGTGGTATGGCGTCTGCACAGGTAACTCAGGAAAAAAGGCGCGAAATGATTGTCTGCCCTTGCTTTCACGGAGGGAGGGAGGGAAGGGGGCCTGACAACACGTACCCAGAACCACCCGCGACAATGTTTTAGCCCCATCAGAGTGCTCCATTGTGACTGCTCTGGACAGCACTCTCAGATGCCCGATTGTTTGCCATTGCTCTGACGCTGGGAGGGGCGCTTACAGGGTTGGCTTCAGGGAGCTAAAATCAACAAAGGGGGTGGCTTTACATCAAGGAGTATTTCAGGCAGGACTTCACGGAGGGTTCCAATAAGAAATGGTGCACCTAAGTTATTGTCCTTATTGGAGCAAGAAGGTTAGCCTGGCCTCTGATTGATACATGGCTAGATTTACCTCGCTGCACCTTCTCTGTAAGTGACTGCAGTGTGATCTAGAAGAATGAGTCCCCTAGACAGGGGGGGGGGGGGGAAGCAAATGAGTACAAAACAAATCTGGTCTATTTCTTGTTTTGACCCACTCCATCTATCTTTTACATCTTTGGCTGGCAGCAGACGGTGCAGAAGGACTGCATGCCATCCACATCTCATGGCTGCTCGGCAGAAGATGGTACAGTACGACTGCTAGCAGTCCGTATCGCCTGCCCGCTCACCATAAGACGGTTCAATAGGACTGACTGCAGGACTAAAGAGAATGACCTGGTCAAGTCACTCCAAATTTAGTCCCTGTGCCCATGTCTGCCCAGGCGCTCCTGATCGACCTCACAGAGGCGACCAGGAGCACCTCAGACATGACGATGACGGCTACCAGTCGTACTGTACCGTCTGCTGCCACAAGGCAAGGGGTTGCTGCTACTGTGTAGCAATGCCGTACCGCGTCTGCCAGCACCCAGGAGACATAGGGTGACGGTTACCTGAGCGGGCTCCATGCTTGCCATGGTATGGCGTCTGCACAGGTAACTCAGGGAAAAAGGCGCGAAATGATTGTCTGCCCTTGCTTTCACGGGGGAGGGAGGGAACGGGGGCTGACGATATGTACCCAGAACCACCCGCGACAATGTTTTAGCCCCATCAGGCATTGGGATCTCAACCCAGAATTCCAATGGGCAGCGGAGACTGCGGGAACTGTGGGATAGCTACCCACAGTGCAACGCTCCGGAAGTCGACGCTTGCCTCGGTACTGTGGAAGCGCTCCGCCGAGTTAATGCACTTAATGCACTTAGAGCATTTTCTGTGGGGACACACACACTCGAATTTATAAAACCGATTTCTAAAAAACCGACTTCTATAAATTCGACCTTATTCCGTAGTGTAGACATACCCTAAAAAGATCCGGGATAGATCTAGTCAGCTCCTAAGTCCAGAGGGCCCCATTGGACTCCAACACACATACAATCTGAGAGGAGGGCAAAAGAAACATTACATGTTAGAGCCCAACATGTGAAGGTTATTGCTTCTCAGTACAG